AAAAAAAAAAAAATCAACACACAAAAATCAGTAGCATTCTTGTACACTAATAATGAACTTACTGAGAAAGAAATCAGGAAAAAAATACCAGTCACAATAGCACCAAGAAAAATTAAATATCACGAGTCAACAAATGGGATCGTGTCAAATTAAAAAGCTTATGCACAGCAAAGGAAATAACTGAGTGAAGAGACAACCTGGAGAATGGGAAAAATTTTTGCCAGCTATTCTTTAGAGAACTAATACATAGAATACAGTAAGTCCCCAACTTATGAGTGAGTTCTGTTCCAGGAGAATTGTTCATAAGTCAGATTCATTCATAAGACAACAAAGTGAGTCTGGTACAGTACATATGTGAAAGTTCACAACTTGAATGTTCATAAGTCAGGGATTTGCTCTATGTAAAGAACTCAAAAAAATTAGCCCTCCTCCCAACGAAAGACCTAATCAAACAATGGGCAACTGAAATGAATAGAAACCTTTCAGAAGTACAAGTGGCCAATAAATACATGAACAAATGTTCAGCATCGCTGGCCATTAGAGAAATACAAATTAAGACAACACTGAGATCCCACCTTTCCCCAGAAAGAATGGCCATCATCTAGAAATCAAATAATAACAAATGCTGGCAAGGCTGCAGGGGAAATTCCTACCTTGGTGGTAGGAATGTAAACTACTACAACCACTGTGGAAATCAGCATGGAGAGTCCTCCAAAAAACCAAAAATAGAAATTCCATTTGACCCAGCTATTCTCTTTCTTGATGTCTTCCCTGAAGAGTTAAAAGGAAGCATATTTACAATTATCCATCCATACCCATGTTTAATTCTTTTTTTTTGGTACCGGCATCGAACTCAGGACCTTGTGCTTGCAAGGCAGGCACTGGAACCACTAAGCTAAATCCCTGGCCCCATACCCATGTTTATAGCAGCACAATTAGTAATAGCTAAATCTTGGAAGCAGTGTCTATGTCCATCAACAGATGAATGGATAAGGAAACTGTGTTTACACACAATGGAGTAGTACTGTGCCATAAAGAAGGATAAACTTGAGGCATTTATAGGTGAATGGATGCACCTTGAGACCATAATGTTAAGTGAAATACACCCAAACTTTTATCACATGGTTTCTCTTATATGAGAAATCCAAAATATAAATAAAGAGCAAAGTCAAAGATAGATGATAGGAAGCAGGGAATAGGAAGTAGGAGTAGATAGATCTTTCTCAAATGGGAAGGGAATAGAGGGGTGGAGAGAGGGAGGGAAGGGGTGAGAAAGAATGAAGATGTGTTGTGTGCGTGCACCAGCTCCACATGAGCAATGGGAACGTGCTGCAAACATGCTAACAAAAAGTGATGTCTCTTTGTTCCCTTGTTGTGTGACAGAATAATAGTGTGAAGGCCGCAATAGTGACAGTCATGTTTTGTGACATTTTTGCATCTATATAGGTTAATTGTGGCTTTTTTCAACTAGGTTTTTTTTTATTACTTCAAACACTAATGCCATCAGTAGAATAGAAAAAAAAACCAAACAGTACAAAAGGTTAGATCTAGTAAATCTCCCTCCTACCTTTGACTTCAGTCTTCTGACCTGGGAAGTAGTGCGGCTGCATCTGCAATTTCTCTGTGTATATAAAGAGTGTTTTTTTCACCTTGAAGGTAGATGGAAACTTTCTGCTCATTTTCCTCAGTGCCTTGCTTCTGAAACATTTACCTTGAAATCATTCCGTGTCTCTACCTGTGTCTGTTTTCCTACAGGCAGATGTCAGAATTTAACCCAAAATGATGGATATTTATTTGCAGATTTTTCCTACTTCCCATGACATTATAGGAATTTTTTTTTAAATCTTTGCATAGGTATGTGCATCTCTCTAGGATAAGTTGCTGCCAGAGAAATCATGCCATCGCAGGTTGAGCGTCTGGAGTTGGGGTGTGTACTGTCGGTTGCCCTTAAAGGGGCCATGGCAGTTCAGGCTTCCATCACGACATGTGTTAGTGTCTGCTCCTCTGCCCGCACTGCAGGTGTATTTCCAAACACCAGCCTTGACCGGGTCACATTGGGATGCTGTTTTACATTGCATATTTAAGAGCACACCTTCATGCTGATGCCCAGCCTTCTTTTTCCCTTCCAGGTAAACATGGATGATCGCTTTGGGCAGATCATGATTGAAAATCTTTGGAGACGGCAGTGTCACCTGGCAGGAGTGGAAACCTGCAAGTCATTAGAGTCTCAGGTCAGCAAGCAGAGACAAGGACACCCACTGTACCTTTAGCCGTCCCCGAGCGCACGTTCTGCACAGATGAGATGGTGCAGTGCCTGCTGACACAGGCAGCGAGGGCTCCCTGACCCTGGGAAAACCTGTCCTGCTTTGCCGTCTTGATCTGGAAAACACAAATTTACATTTCCTGTGCTCTATTTCATTATGCAAGCTTCACTGTTTTCAATGTAAAATTTCCTTTTTATTATGTAAAAAGTTGAACTATAGGTAGAAGGAATAGTACAATAAACACCCATCGCCTGTCAGCCAGCTTCAGTAATTACTGTTTTATCAGTGTCATTTCACGCATCCTCTCCACAATTGTGTTGCTGCTGCTGTCAGAATATTTTCATGCAAACCCCAGACAACACATGATTTCGCCCTAAATATTTCGGTGAGACTCTCCTCCCAGGAAGGACTCTCTCCCCCCAGTGTGCTCACCGTCAGCAGCAACACACTAGGGAGCGTCTAGTCCTACTCCGCTCTCACTTCCCCCGTGTTTAAAATGTTTCCTGTAGTTGGTGTTTGAATTGGGATCCGTGCGTGGTCCACACTTTGTGGGTGATTGATCGTCTCTCATGGCTCTCTGAATCTGTGGTAGTCCCCGTCCCTTTAAATTGAAAGTTACCGATTTGCATGCAGGAGGCCCCTCCCAGCGCATGTGTCAGTTCTGGCTGCCTTGTGTCACGTGAGCACCTCACACTTTAGAAGTTGCTCATAGGAAAGTTTCTTCCTCTATTCCTTTTTCAATATACTTTATTTTTCTCCCATGATAACAACATGTGTTCCATACAGAAAACTGGAAAGTGCAAAGGAGAGAAATGAGGGGACCACAATGGGGCTTGGAAGGAAGAGTGATCTTAGAGAAACCCCTGTTGCTTAGGGTCTCGGCTCATTGGCCACGCCTCAGCTCTCTGTTTCTCTTCACCTACATTGCAGAGAGAGCGGCTCCTGGCGAATGGGTGGGAAACGGCCTCCGTGCTGGACATGATGGAGTTGTACAGCAGGCTGCCCCGTGCCGAAGTGAGCAGGTAGGGCTGGCCAGCCGGGCTCTGCTGTGTGCACTGGGCATTGAAGGCATGACTTCTGTCTTTGGAGCGTGAGATGCAAAACGAAACCCTCACCTGACTTACTCTGAAATAAATTGCACATTGTTAGCAGCGAGAGTCACTCATTAGCTGTTAGCTGAGATAGAGCTCATGGCAAAAGAGATTTTGTTAGTGAGAATAAACAGTTGCACCTGCAGGATTCCCAGAGCAACCTCTGTGTGGAAATTTTCATAATCCCTGATTTGGAGAGGAGGAAAACGATATTGCCCAAGGATTTCTAAAAAAAAAAAAAGACCTCTGATAGCAGAGTGTTAAGTGGGCTTTCGTAGCCAGTGTTCTAAAACATGGTTTCAGACAGTGCAAGTGCGTGAAGTATGAAGTAGCCATCTGCTCTTCATTCACACTGCAGAGTTAGTTCATGTTAATAAATGGGGGCATATTCTTTTTCTGTGTATATGCAAAGATAAATATCGATAGGTAGATTTCTGTTTTTTGAATCAGTGGATTCATATTACTGGTCTAGAAATTACCCTCTCTTTTCAAAATTTAAAAATAGGACTAATTTATCTTACTATATCAAAATACTGAATGTTCCCCTATTCTAGTTATAGGTATGTAATACTTATATTGCTACGGAGATAGAGTATATCAATATTCACAATTTAAAGAAATTAAAAATGCCTATAGCTGAACATTGGTTGTGGTATCTTGTATTTTATTTACATTTCCCTGTTACAAACAGAACAGAAGATAATAATACTGTATGTTAGTGCCCACTTTAATTCTTTATTTTTTTCTAACAATGACTGTGCTTCCTGCTCTGTGCTTTTCTCTTTCCTTTGGAGACCTCTTGATAAAGTTACAAGATCATGAGAAGAATTTTTCACCTTGCTTTTCCATAGAACCTACTAACATTTGGAAGTATCACTATTTTTTCTATGTATCTAAATGTAATTGGCAACAAAAATCTTTAGAGTTTGAGAAAGTGGAGTCTTCCAGTAACGCATCCTGGATTCTTCTGGAAGCAGCCTTTCTGGCAGGCTTGTCAAAAGTGTTTTGAAGGGCCAGGGATTTAGCTCAGCGACAGGACGCCTGCCAGACAAGCGCAAGGTCCTGAGTTCAATCCCCAGTACCAGAAAAAAAATGTTTTGAATATCCCTGGCATGGCATCTGAAGTGGGACACTCTAGCACCTTTTCCAGATACCCAGGGAGGATTCTGCAGCTAGCACCATCCAGATAGAAAGTAGTGTGTCTCTGGCGCCTTTGTCTCAGTGGCCATAGCCTTCTGAAGACAGCAGGCTGTAACCCTCCAGGAGCCAGTAAGGAGATGGGATGGGGTTCAGCAACCCCAGGGTGAACAGCATCCTAACTTTATGATTGTCACAGTGTGTGTCTGCATTTGTTGGATACCATGGAGTATAAAAAAGAGTTCTAAGCAAGCTTACTCATTTAACAAATGTTGAGTGCCTACTGTGTGTCAGACACATTTTCTGAGCACAAGGGATACAACAATATCAGAATAGACCAGAGAATACAAAATATGTTCAATATATATAGCGAATGTTTAAATTTAAAAATGTATTACAATAAAAGACACATTGCCATTAGTCCCACTCACAGTACTGTCCCTTGCTTCAAATACACATATCCCATTGTTCTTGCCATTTTTTGAAGTAGTTCTGGAAGTCCTTTTTAGTGAGTAGAGAGTGTCTCTATGAAGTGTGATAAAAAAATATAGTGAATGCTGCTGCCAAGTGCCATCCTATAGAATGGCGGGCTTGTTTAAAATATCATGGTGTATCTTCACCCACCTTATTCACTGTCTGGCTCCATGTGACTTCTAGCTCTTCCCCAAAGTCAAAATGACCATGGAAGGTAAACGTTTTGAATCTGTTCAGGACATTGAGGCAGACACAGCAGTGCAACTAGAGACACTCATGAAAGAAAACCTCCAGAACTGCTTCAGAAAGTAGTAAGAATGATGGGATAAATGTGTTTGAAGCAAGAGGAAGTATTTCAAGGGAGACTAATGGCAATGTATCTTTTACTGTAATACATTAAAAAATATTTAAACATTCCCTGTATGTTTTAGTCGCACCTTCTTTTCCCGCTCTTAGCAGTTCTCTCATGCCAGTGAATGACTTCATAATTAGTGTTACATTCTGATAGTTGGGAGTAACCATCGTGAAGCCTTTATTACAGTACTGTTTTTTTTCTAGAACATGGTACTAATCTACCTTGGATGTTGTATTAGCTTTCTGTCACTGTGACAAATGCCAGAAATCATCAACTTAAAAAGAGAAAAGGTTTACTTTGCCTCAGTGGAACCTGAGAGTTGGAGGTCCCATTCTCTGATCAGTTGGGCCCGTCACTTTTGGGCCTGTGTGACGCAGCGTATCATGGCAGGAGTGTGCTGTGGAGCCAAGTGCTCGACTCATGACCTGGAAGAGGAGGAGTGGTGCTCAGGGCATCCCTGTGGTCTTTCCTCAAAGGAAGACCTTGGAAATAGATTTGCACTTCTACACCTTTGGGCCTGTGATGGGTAGGCAGCCCTAGCCTACCCTTGAGAGTCCCTTGACACATCCTTCTGGTAAATGAATTTAAAATTCATTTCAAACATTTTTTTCTTATTGCAATTTTACAGTTCTTTTGCAAGGGAGTCAGTCCTTTGCCATTTGTATTGCAGATATATTTTTCTGGTTTGTCTTTTGACTTTGTTTATGGCATTCTGTCTTCTAACTCTTGTTCTTCTTTTGGGGAGAGGGTGCTGAAGTTCGAGCTGAGGCCTCATGCATGCTAAGCAGGCACTCTAGCACTCCACTGCTGAGGGAAACTCCCAGCCCTCTTTCTTGTTTTGTTTTTTGTGCTTTTTTTTGGTACCGGGGATCGAACTCAGGATCTTGCAGTTGAGAGGCAGGAGGTGATGCCACTGAGCTACATCCCCGGCCCTTCTTGTTTTTAATAATAATGAAATTGAAGTGGGATCACACCGTATATACTGTCCTGCAGCTGATTTCTTTTAATGTATTTTGAACATCTCTTTGTATTGGTAACTGTGGGTCATCATTTTCATTTTTAATTGTGTAATGTTATATTTCACTGTTTTGCTTCTCTGCACAGAATAGAATCCCTTGAGTTCCTGGATGAAATGGAGCTTCTGGAGCAGCTCATGCGTCATTACTGCCTGTGCTGGGCGACCAGAGGAGGCCAGGAGCTTGGTAGGATGTTATTCTCTTGTTGCTCTGACCCAGAAATGGGGACTGCTTCTCCCGAGAAACATTCGAGGCATATCTGGAACCTTAGGCCGACAGGAGCTAGAGGACCTTACCACACACGTACCTGTGAGCATGTCTGGAGAATTTTCAGTTACATCTTTGTTTTTATGGCACAGAAATTAGGGAGACTTTTTTTTTTTTTTTGTACCAGGGATCGAACTCAGGATCTTGCGCTTGCGTTGCAGGCGAGGTGCCACTGAGCTAAATCCCTGGCCCAGGAGACTTATTTAAATCAAGTGTCAGTATGAAAACAACAAATCAACCCTTGCAAGGTCTGCTGTGGGATTTCTGCTGTTAAAGGTTAAAGACCTTAAGGGCCTGAGATAGTAATCTTAATAAAAGTACCCAGAGTTTGTCTTTTTCATCAGCTCATAGCCATGTTTATGATATGTTAAGCACACAGGTCATTCCTTGTCTCTAACAAAGCCATGTGGCCAACTGAATTCCACCCTCTTATCTCTGTAATTAAAGTGCAGTTCCAGTCTGAGGTCTGGGGCAGTAGCCATGGCAAGATAGGCATTTAGGAAGTTTCTCCCGCTGTTTGACCGAGTATTGTTTGAAAGGAGCGCAGCCGAAACTGTCACCAAAGGAGGCATTATGCTTCCAGAAAAATCTCAAGGCAAAGTACTGCAGGCAACTGTGGTAGCTGTGGGATCAGGCTCTAAGGGAAAGGGTAGAGAGATTCACCCAGTGACTGTGAAAGTTGGAGATAAAGTTCTACTTCCAGAATATGGAGGCACCGAAGTAGTTCTAGATGACAAGGATTATTTCTTATTTAGAGATGGTGACATTCTTGGAAAATATGTGGAGTGAAGTAAATCACTGAAATGGCATCACAGTACTGCCCATTCCACTGAAGTTCTGCAGTCTTTCATCATGTAAATAATTCCCACGTCTCTTTTATAATAAACTGATGATAACTAAACTAATGACATCCATTGTCTGAAGTTTAGTTTCACTGTACTGGTATACACATTTCCAAATAAAATATGTAAATGAATGGTTTAAAAAAAAAAAAAAAGTGCAGTTCCCTGGCGGTGGCAGAGTAAACCATGAGGACCCAGTGTGGATCCAGATATCAGTGTCTTGTTATATCTTTAGTAATCCTGGCAGTATGATCGTGATCATAGCAGTGTCTTATTACCTCAGTGGGTTTTGCTTCCCTGGTGGTTATTTCCTGGGCATCTCGCTAGCCCAGTGGAGACTGTGTTAGATCTGCCTTTCAGGCTTCCTGCAGATATGATTGATCCTAATGACTCAGGACTTCAGACGAGTAGCTGGGAGAAAGCAGGTCCTCGGTGGAGGCAGGAACTCTTCCCTGTGTGAAATTTCCAGGTTGACATGAGAGCTTATCATTCTACTTATTTATGAATTTACCCAGCTGTGCAGTTCAACACATAGAATCCTTTCAAATTTGTTTTTGATTTAAAATCATTTATTGGTGTGTTTTTACATAAACTGTTACCCTCCCCCAATTATAAAGCAATATAATTTTTAGTAAAGAATTTGGAAATATCTAAAAAGTATGCCAAAGAAAGTAAAATTCATGTGTCTGCCTGTCACTCAGAGATAACCTCTAGGAAACTTTTTCTTTCCATTCTTTCTCTAGCTGTTGTCTTATTTTTAATAATTAGATTTATATATTTATGTAACTTTGATTCCTGACTTATTGAACTTAATTAATACTGTAACATAAGCATTTCCCTCTTGCTGTAGAAACTCCCAATGACTATAAGTTAGGGCCAGGGATTTAGCTCAGTGGTACTGGTGCCTGCCTCGAAAGCGCAAGGACCCAAGTTCAATCCCTGGTACCAAAAAAAAAAAAAAGTATTAGTTTAATGGTTTTATTAAACGATCACATGACTAAGTCTGAATTTACTTTACCATGCTTTTGGAAATGTAGGTTATTTCTAATACTTCTAAGTTAACTCTAGTTCTTACCAAGAAACAACATGCTGAACATTTCTTTTTGTGGTACTGGGTATTGAAGCCAGGGCCTTTACACTTAAGCTACATTCCCAGCCCTTTTTAAAATTTTTAATTTTGCGACAAGGTCTCACTAGGTCACTAAGTTGCCCAAACTGGGGACTTGCAGTCCTCCTGCCTCAGCTTCTCAAAGTGCTCAGGTTGATTACAGGTGTGCACCACTGCACTGGCCATCATGGACATTTTCTGTACGGGAATGATTTGTCTCCACTCTGCCTAGCTGCCTGGGCCGCCAGTGTTCATCTCTGGGTGGTGGAGGAGCTTTATTGCGTTCACTCGAAGTTCAGCAGTTCAAGGGCAGATTTAGAATGTTTACTACAGAGGCCCCATAAATTTTTATTGTGCTTTCTCACTTCGTTTTAAACCACTCATAAACAAACTCTATTGCCCAACACCTTTTACTTATGAAATCTCCTTTCACACTGCCAGGGAGCAGAGCCCAGAGCCAGCTCTAGTGGCCCACAGCAGTGTCACCTGCTCCCCCGTTTCTCTGCTCTGCACTGTCTCTGACAGCCTCCGTTTCCTTCCCAGGTTTGAAGGAGATAACTTGTTAATCCATGAAAGCCTGTCCTGAGCTGGAAGTGGAAGCCTCTGGCCTTTCCCAAGGACACTTCGGAGCTTCCTAGTGATGGGTTGGCCTCATCTGCTGGTCTCTCACACTCAGAGAAACCTCAGTTATGAAGGTGGCTGCACTACTTCCTGTTCCTGTTGATTCGTTGTTGTTTAAATAAATCTCACTTGCCAATTGCCTGTGTGTAAAGCATCTGCTTGTTGTCAGGTGCCACTCTGTGCTTCCTGGACCAGGCTGAGGTTCACTTCTATGATAGTTTAAACCCAAGGATCAGAGTCATCCTATGACCCCAGCTTATTCCCTATGAGTCAGACTCACTTTGTAATCTTGAATCTATTTTGGGATTTCAGCTTCTGTGAGCTTTTTATTACAGCACCTGATATGCCTAGCGTCTTGACCTTGGCCTGTACCAGATGCTAGGGCTGTTCTCTGACTCTTTGCTTCTGCCCTTGCCGGATTAGCCTGCTCAATTGCATCCTTCATCTTGGTTGTTGGCAGGCTGAAAAATGGCCCCCTAAAAGGTCCACGTCCCGATTCCTAGAACTGGTGAATGTGTTATTTCCTGTGGCTGTGTGGTGGAGCTGGTGTTGAAATGAGACAGCCCTGACAACCCGAGTGGGCCTGATGTACTCACAGGAGTCTGCAGGAGAGGAGCAGTGGAGTCAGAGCCAGACTAGCCAGTGGGGTGACAGAAGCAGTGGTTGTGGAGTGATCTGCTTTGAAGATGAAAGAAGTGAAGATGAAAGATGAAGAAGACAAGAAATTCAGGGATCCCCTGGAAGCTGAAAAGGGCAAGAAAACAATCTTCCCTCAGAGGCTCTAGAAGGAGCCAACCATGCCACCACCTTGACTTTGCCTAAATAAAACAGATTCCATATTTCTGTCCTCTAAGGCCGTAAGAGAATAAATCTGTGGGTATTTTGTTTGTTTGTTTTTTGAGACAGGGTCTCCCTACGTAGTTCAGGTTGGCCTTAAACTCACTGTGTAGCCCAAGCTGGTCTTGAATTCACAGTGATCTGCCTGCCTTGGGCTCCTGAGTGCTGGGATTACAGGTGTGTGCCACCACACTCTATGATTCCTTCCATCTGGAAGTGGTCACTCGATTTTTCACAGGACTAGGACTAGCAGCAGCCACCCAACAGGTCTGTAGAACTTGTCTACCCTGTGTCTGCGGTAACCCTGGTGAGCCCAAAACGCCTCTATTATTAGAACCTGTGCAGAGGAGAAGGACTAACCTGGAGAGGACTGGCAACGAGACTTTACCTATGTGCCACCATGTGGAGGATTTAAACAGATGTTGGTCCCAGTTGACACCTTTGCAGGCTGGAGTGAAGCCTCTCCTGGCCATTCAGAAAAGGCTTCAGAGGTAGTCTAGGTGCTTCCTAAAGAAACCATTTCTAGCTTTGGACGACCCAAGCCCTCCACAATGATAGCGGTCCTTTTTTTATCTCCCAAATAACTCAGGAGGTGGCAAAGGCTTTAGGAATAAAGTACCACCTCTATTTCTCCTGGTGGCTCAATCTTCTGGAAAGACAGAGAGAGCCACTCAGACCCTAAAGAGAGCTCTGGCAAAACTGCCAAGAGACGCCTGCTGTCAGTAGCACTCATGAGGGTTTATAACATGCCCCAGACTGGGCTAAGATTCAGCATTTGAGATGCTAGGTCAGTGGGGATTTCTATCCTCTGATACGATAGTGGGCCTGAGACCATCTAGCTCTCACAATATCTCATTAGTCTGGGCCAAGTACAGCAGGCTATCTGAATGTATGAGAACAGAGCCCTGCCAGCTCTTGCCTAAGGGGACCACCTCCTGTCCGTTCTGGAGACCAAGTGCTTATAAAAACTTGGAGAGAGGGGACAGCTACTGACCAATTAAACCCCAGAATGGAAAGGCCCTTCTCAGTGATCCTTGCCACACTCACCGCAGTAAAGATGGCAGAGTTAGATAATTGGATTCATCTTTCTAGAATAAAGCCCGTTTCATCTGAACTGTCTGAAGAACAAGATCACCCAAAAGGAGAAAGCTACTCCTGTGTGCCTCTGGAAATTTGAGATTTCATTTCAAAAAGCCGGACTCCAGTGCCACCACAGGAAGCACTGAAATCTGACCTGCTCCTCATATTTGGCTAATAGTGAAGGGCAAAGGTCATTAACTCTTTTCTCATTGTTGCCTGACAGGTTTTCCTTTCTTCAACCCAGCCAGTGAGCCACAGGACTCCAAGGTAGTTGGAGCACAAAAATCCCCAGTAGATAGGGGGGATTTTGAAGAAGCTGTAAAAGATAAGAGACCTCCACTCTCAGCACCCCATAAAGAATTATGGAGATTAGTGTTTCTCAGGGGGGAATAACAGGAGATTAGGGCGTGGCAAAGCTGGCTCGGGAAGTAGGTGTGACTTGTTAATTACAAGATCCTGGAGCACATGTGCAGAATGGTTCCCAAAGCCCTGTGCATGGACTTCTTACGAGAACTTGAGCAGTCTTTCAGTAGGATGCCTAGACCTGACATCAGCCCGAGACGGGGATCCCAGCACTGCCTCTCAGGACCCGGATGCAGAAGTTCTCAGGTTTCCTTGACATTTGGACAACCTATAAGGACGTAGCTGCCAGAAGGAGCCTGCTATGGTGACTTTCCTTGTGATAGACCACCTTGCTTTCTTCAGGGTGTCCTTTTATCTTGCTTTTTCCTCTTTTACTCAGCCCAAGCTTGCTCTGCAGAGCCAGTTTCTCACTTTTCACTTTTACTTTTTTTTTGGTACCAGGAATCAAACTCGGAACCTTGTGCTTTCGAGGCAGGCAGCAAAACCACTGAGCTAAATCCCCGGCCCCCACTTTTACTTTTTCAAATAAACTTTTCACCGCTTTTTGCTCATTTTGTTCAATTCTTTGAGCTGAGAAGAACCTGGAATCTAACTCTAGAGGAAGAGGTGAGCAACCCAGAACCCGGTAACATTTAACTGACAAGCCACTTTTAGAAGGAGCTCACCAGTTACAGCTTATTTCAGTCAGCGGCTCCAAATGTAAAATGTGTATTCTACACTGCTCCTTAAGACCTGCGAGGGCTCCTGCTCCTCATGGTGTGAAATCCAAGTTCTTGCCACTGCATGCAACACCTAGTAGTTGAATGGTCTGGTCCTTCCCTGTTTGCCCCTTTTGTCGTACTCTCTCCCTGGCCACAACACTCCCTCCATCCTGGTGCTTCTGTAGGGCCTCGGCACCTGCTGTTCCCTTTCCCTATTGGCTCAATCCCATAAAGCCCGGTTTAACACCTGTACCACCATGAAGGACTTTTCTTCTTTTTTTTTTCTTTAATTTATAAAACAATGTGGTACAAATGACATTTGAATTTTACAATAACATGACTACCGTTAGCCCATCAATCTTCGTGGGTATCAGAACTTTAAAGTTCATTTCCATTCACACATTTTTGCTGCTGAAGCCTGTTTCTTCTTTTTTTTTTCAGCATGTGATGTTTATTTTATTTTATTTTATTTTTTGGTACCAGGGATCGAACTTGGGTTCTTGTGCTTTCGAGGCAGGCAGTGGAACCACTGAGCTAAATCCCCGACCCTAAGCCTGTTTCTTAAAGACTCTAGCTGCTTGGCTCTTAGTCACCGTTCTTGTGACAGCGTTTTCTGACCAGCACAGAGAGACAGCAACCAAGCTACCACCAGCAGCTGGTGGAGATCATCTGTAGTGATTCTCTGAGGGTGATTCTTACATGTCTCCACAAAGTCATCAACTGCCTTGGTTATTTCATCAGATGTGCTGTAATCCAGGAATCTCAAAAGGGTCAGGTAGATGCGGAACTTGTTCAATACAAAAGGCAACACTGTGGAGAGAAGGCTGTTCATGTACTCCTCCATATTGGGTGGCAATAGCTAGGGTTGTAAGTGGATCTGGCAGTCTGCAGGGAGGAGTGACCGCCTCTCTGAGGTGATAAGAACATTGATGCTGTAGGGGAATTCCATCTGGTAGTAACTGAAGTCATAATCCACCTTCTGCCAGGTTATCAGGTTGCTCAGGGGAGTCACATTATGAACACCTTGGGTGTTCAACTGCCCTTGCTCCAGCAGAGTTTCATCAATGACCAGGGAAGTGTTGTTGGGCAACTGGAGGAGTCCACTGACCAAGCTATTGGCTGTGTAGTCTTTTGTTTTTTTTTTTGGTACCGGGGATCAAACTCGGGTCCTTGTGCCTGCGCAGCAGGCGGCAAAACCACAGCTAAATCCCTGGCCCTGGCTGTGTAGTCTTTATGGGGAATGAATTTCAAATGGTTCATGTTCTCTATTGTCATCTGTAGATGAAAAGATGCTGGAACAGATGTTGAATAATTCGATATAAATGTTCTGTGAAAGTACTATTCCCTGGGCAACCACTCAGGTTCACGGTAAATTTTCCTAGTGGAAGAACATCTCTTCTTGTGTATATTGTAGAGATGAGATGTAATATAAGGTACTCAACAGCCAAACTGTCTCCCAAAAGGGCATGAGTGAGGAACCCTAGCAGTTCTGTTCTGACTGGAGATAATTCGGACAGGAAACTTGACACAAACTTACAGGTTCTGCTCTCCTCTTTGTTAAGGCAGGCAGGTAACAATGGATTGATGTGCTGCAACTTCTGGGCCAAAACCACATGAATTCTTGGCATTAACGAGGCAGGAGGACCGTGTACCCGCTGCTCCTCTGCCGTATCTGTGCACTCCATGGGGTCCAGCTGCGCACAGGCATCCCTTTCCTCCCTACTCAGTATACTCAGCACAGATCCACAGACAGGATGCCGTAAAACTCAAGAACATCGTTTACTCTGAAACAATCGCAGTCTTCATAGACCTTTACAAGGCAGGCAGAGCCCTTCTCTCTAGGCAAAGGGAAATTCAGATCGAAAGGAGAAGAGAGGTTTAGGGAGTTCAGCTGCTGCCCTGTGGAAGCTTCCGTTTCTAAACGTTTTGGCTCGCCACGCCACTGAAGACCACTGACACTTCCTGCTTGTCTGGCACCCGAGTGTTGGTCTTTCTGTTTATGGGGCTGTAGGTCCATATCTTCTTCATCTTCATAACTCCTCTTGTGATGACTGGGAGTGTAGGGTGTCGAGGGACTGACGCGAGCTCGGTTTGCTTTAACATAGGCTTCTTTTACCCACTCAGATTCCCCGGGCACTGGAACCCAGTAGAAAGTCTG